GCCTAACTTATCTGTTCTCCACCTCTTGTGTTGAGGTGGAGATATTTCCCGATGCCTCCCATTCCTATCGTCCTTATGCGCTCCTTTCTCTTCCTTTTTGTTTGCTAAATCGCTTTAGCAGAAAAACAGAACATATATGTGCATATATTCAGGTGATGTGTGATGTCCACTATGAGACGGGAAGAGGAAAAAAAGAGGGCCTAAGAGCGGTGGGCATGGGACATGATGGAAAGCTAAAGACCTCAGTTCCTCGTCTAACACTGTAAGATGTTTTCTGTCAAAAGAAAAAAAAACACTGTAAGATGCTTTGTTTTGAGTTTCCTGATGCCTCTCATGCCTATTGTTCTTTGGTGTTCCTTCCTCTTCCTTCTAGTTCACACAACATAAAAAGGATTCATAGTAATAATATGATTTCGTTCAAATTAATAACCCTGCATACTAGATTGCTATTTTCTGTGTTTGTTTGTCTCTTTGGTATGCCTTAATCCATTCATAAGACAAGATAAGATGTCGCCTTAACAAGGCTACTGGTTTATACTTCATAATTTAGTAGTACTGTAATTCATTTTTTAGATTCTAATCACACCACGAAACACACCAAGACATTTTATTTACCAGTCAGGTATATTATATGTACTAGGAAATCCTCTAGCATATATAACTGGATATTATTTGCGTTTAAGTACTTAATGTGTCAAGAAACCTTTAGACACTTACTTCTGTATTAACTAATTTATCAAGTTTATTTACAAGCTTTGTCCCAAATGCTCAAATAGCATTAATGTTTAATGCCTATACATGTATACAGATTTATGATGAAAGTAACACAGTATAGTAAAATAGTAGATCATCAAAGCAGTGAAATGATCTTTTAGATAAACCACACGACTAACATTTAAAGCGTGTCATTCTCTCTGCCCTGCAAACAAAAATACTGCTTTTCTGATGGAACTAGGAGACATACCTCTGTATCTATGTGACTCCCATTAAATAGTTTGTACAAAGTTGAATGAACAATCTGCTTGTCAAGAATTGTTGCTGCAATAATCTGCACATTTGCAACCAAAGTTCAGTATTGTGCACTGCAATTTGCAACAGGAAGCCATGTCGTCAAATGAACAATCATAAAACAGGATCACACAACTAAATTTACTGCATAACAGAAGCTTTCTTAACCCAAAGAGATTGACAACAATAACAGAGCATAGTTCTAGAATGTCCTCAATGTACAACCTTGTGTGACCAATAGCACAACCTTGTGTGATCCATGTACTTGATCTGTCTCAACTGCACAACCATGTGTGACCAATAGCCTAAAGATTGTAAAAGCTTGTTGCCCATATTTCTTTTTACCGAAAAAGGGTTTCCCCCCGCTTTGTATTCCAAAGCAACGAACACCATACACATAGCATTGCTGGGGCGAGCAGCACAACAAGCCCAAAAGAAAAGAAGAAAAGAATGCCAACAACGGCAGTTCGACAAAGCATGGATGAACCGCCACCGCTGCGCCCTCCGAAGACACACCACCACCGCCCGAGGCTCCGAACTGCCGCGTACCAAGCGGCACCTTCAAGAAGGAATGCGACGCCGACGACGCTGCCGCCCGGACGAGTCCTAGGGTTTCCCCCAGTACGCGGAGGGAAGTGGAGGATGGCTACCACCGACACCCTCCAAGAAGGAAAGGTGGCACCCGTCGGTGTCACCGCATCGGAGCCGGCCGAACCGGCAAGGATTTCTCCCGCACACCAACCCCACCGCCCAACCGGAGCCGACCAACCAAATCACCGCCCAACACCATGCGCCATTGCGGAAGCGCCGCCACCCAAGCTGTCTCACTACGAGCACCAACACGAGGCCAAGAAGGCCGGAGAGAAGAGCCAAGCGACAGGAGCAGCAACGCCAAGGCCGAGCGGGAGGGAACCTCCTCCTCCGCCGTCGTGTGAGAGGCCCGCGCCTCCGGCATAGTCGCGGTTGCCGTCCGGACACGGCAGCGGGGCAAACCAGGCCACCCCAGGCCCGGCCAGGCCCTCAACGGGCCCGCTAAGCCCCGCCGGCCATGATGCAGCAGGCTGGCGTCGGCGCCGCCAGCACCTCGCCGCTCAGCGCTGCTCCCCCGCCTCTCGGAAGACACGCCATGGATCAGCCCTGCCGCCGGCCCGCCTAGGCCCAGATGGGGCCCGTAGGGCCCAGATCTGGGCCGAGCGCCGCCGCCAGGACCCACCGCAGCGCCGCCCCGCCGCCAACGACGCCGCCGCCGTCCAGCCGCCCGCCCACGCCACGACAGGGAACCCCGCCGCCACCCGGACCGTCGCCGCCTAGGAGCACCCCCCGGTGCAGCTCCGCCCCGCGCCGGAGAGCCACCGGGAGGGGAAGGTCAGGGGGCCGCCGCCACCAGCGACCCCGGGGCCAGGGCGGCCGCGGGCGCCAGCAACGGCGGCAGGAGGAAGGGGAGAGGTGGGGACCGGAGGAGGGAGGCGGCGATGCGCGGCCGGTCGCCCGCGGGGGCGACGCGGTCGCGAGAGCGCGAGGGATCGCCCGGAGACCAGGGTCTCCAAATTTTCAAAGATTCAAAGGTTGCCCATATTTCTTTTTCACAAGCGACTCTATCTATAATGCACACATAAAAAGATATGTGCATGTGAACTGTACGTAAAGGACAGGGGAGTGTTTTTTTTAACTCAAATAAACTGTGAAACAGTAACACAATCTGGTACCCTCATTTTACGTGCTTCAACCATTTTGCGTAAATCTACAGAAAAACAGTACCACTGTCATGAGAATCTTACAAAAAGAACTTAGGATGCACACTCAAAGGCTGACAAACTAAATTTGAATATCAAGTGTTTCTGAATCTTACAAAAAAAAACTTATGATGTGAACTCAAGGTTGGCATACTAAATTTGAACATCAGAGTTTGGAATGGAAGACAAGTAACCAGGAAAGTAAGTTTCTAAATATAATTTCCAGCTATTTTTTAGAGATTTTTTCACGCTTCGGTTGAATATTGTGATGTCACTGCATATAGCACAATTTATGAAATAGCA